TGGTGTCTCACAAAAGAAAACAACAATCTTCTAAAGAAACATTTATTTTCATTCTCAAACTGTGTCTCAGAGTAATTATTCAAACACTTTAGCTAGCAAGCAATCAAATATAACAACCATCATAAAGAAGACACTAGCCAGGATCAGCAAATACAGTAGGCAACAGGAATACACCTCCAATAATTCCAGATATTGCAATTATTTTATTACAGGCTGTAAACAACAACAACAAAAAAAAAAACCTTTGCTTTCCATGTCTTGAATAATGTAAATAGTGCTGCAATATATACAATGGAATTCTATTTAGTGGTAAAAGAGAATAAAATCCTGTCACTTGCAACAACATGGATGTACCTAGAGGACCTTGCGATAAGTGAAATAAGCTTGACACAAAAAGACAAATGCAGCATGATCTGGCTCATACATGAAGTCTAAAAAAGTTGATCTCATAGAATTAAAAAATAGAATGGTGATTACCAGAGGCTAGAGTAGTTAGTGGGGAGGGAGGAATGGGGAGATGATGATCAAAGGATTGTTTGACCGATATCTAACTCTTTTACTTCACAATCTCCTAATGTAAAGTGATGTTGAGAACCTTTTTATCATACTTATTTGTCACCTCTATATTATCTTTGGTAACATGTCTGCTCAGATTTTTTGTCTATTCTTTAGTTGGGTTGTTTGCTTATTATTGAGTTTTAAGTGTTATTTATATATTTTGAATACAAGCACTTTATCAAACATGTTTTCTCCCAGTCTGTGACTTATTCTTTCCTTTTCTTAACAATGTTTCTCACAGGTAAATTTTTATTTTAATCCAGTCCAGTTTGTAAATTTCTTTTCATAGACCATGTTTTTGGTATTGTGCCTATAAATGTATCAATGTACTTAAGGTCATTTAGATTTTCTCTTTTGTTTCTTTTGGAATTTATATTTTTGTGGGATTTTTTTTTTCATTTTTGCCTGTTTTTTTTCATATGGATGTCAAATTATTCCAGTACTATCTGTTGACAAAAAGTACCTCTTTTTTTGAATTGCCTTTTCTCTTTGGTCCAAAATGAACTGGCTATACTATATGGATCTATTTCTGGTTTGTTTATTTTTTTCCTTTGAACTATGGGTCTATTTTCTCACCATCAGTACTATGCTGTCTTGTAGTACCTTTATAGTAAGTCTTGAAGTTGGATGGTGTGAGTCCTTCAGTTTTGTTCTTCTTCAGTAGTTTGTTATCTATTCTGGCTCTTTCATCTTTTATATAAACTCTACAATCAGTTTGTAAATATTTATAAAATAGCTATAAATGTCAAATAGCTCCACTTGAATGACAGTGCTGATCAGGTTAACTGTATCTTTATTGATTATCTGCTTGCTTGAACTATAAATTATTTAAAAGGAATACTGGATAATCTATAATAGTAATTTTTCCCATGTCTCCTTTTAGTTCTATAAATTTTGCCTGACATATTTTGACACTCTTTTTTTTTCTTTTTTTCTTTT